CTTCAGCAGCTATAATTCATTAGAACTGGTAAGTTGTCGAATGAGGGGAAAACCAACACTACTATTGCATATGGACGCTTCAAAACTCCATGGCCAATATTTTGTACTACCAACTAAGAACAAATATGTCATTACATTTCAGGAGGATGGTATGAGATATCTCATAGGAATGAGTGTAACCAATTATGTGTTATCTCATACCAACTGTACAGATATCAGATTCCACAAAATACATTTCACTACAGATGGAATATCATCACTGATTATAACGAAATATACTACCCATAAGAGTAACTCAAGAATGGTATTTCACCATCCGATGTTGATTAGGAAGGATCTTTTCTCAGAGATATTTAGTGGATTTACGACATACCAAGGATTGCCATTCGTTGCTAAAAGTGAATTAGAGAAATTGTGCTCTAATCTCAAGAACAAATATTCTACACTATTTGTATTTGATAAAGCATACACATTTCAGGACATCAACAACATACCAGAATATAAATTAGGAAAGAAAGAGGAAGAGAAGAAAAAGAAAAGCACTGTAAAGCCAGTCAAGGAGAAGAAAGCAATGTTGATGCTTGTGATATTGCTTGGAATATTGATAGTAATAATGCTGATTTTGAATATCAAAATAAAACAGAAATAAACCTGTGTATGATAAAAGAAGTATTCTTACTGGTAACAATGTATATATACAGTATTTTGATTGTAAATGTAGTCGAGAGCAAGGCTAAGACTGGCCATTAAGCGTTTAAGAAGTGTATTCTCCCATCGTAAGGTATGTACGATGATAGAAAAACAGCAAAGATTTCAAGTAAAGGATGAGAGGTGCATTCTATTACACGCTATTCAACAATTACGCACTGAATGTTGCAAGCAAATTCATAATGAGGATCTCTCTAATTGCTTTGATGGTAGGTATAATATTAACAGTGATATTACTAGTTTCATACACACAAAATTATCCAAATGCCATCAAATACAGTTACTACTTTAACCTGGAGATTCAAACATTCATTAATAACAGATATGGATATGTACCCGTTAATTCTGTTAATGATAAGATTGGTTATTGTATTCAAGAGATGGATTTTTTGGTGAAATGTACATCAATATTTCTAAGTGTATCAGTAACGATGCTTATTATCACATATATATTCACAAGAGTGATGGTTTATATAAAGATAAGTAAGGCACCACCAGTCTATATTTTCAAGGAAAATGTTTGAAGTTGTTCCCTCTTACAAAACCATTAACTATTCACACCTACCTGATTGAAAGAAGTTAATAATTTCATATTATGGATCAATAAGTTTATTCATATGGATATCAGCTCCTCCATATTACGGTGTATTTGGTTGCTCAGAATTATTGTTTTTTGATCCTCTTACACATCTGTATATCAAGAAGATCAGTAAAGCAACTAATGCAAACCTAATTATGTATCTCAGTATGTAAGATGTACCCTTTTCCTTTGCATCACCCTTATCTTTTTTGGATGATCTTCTGGGCGATCTGGGCGGTTTAGGTGGCGTTTTCGGTGGCGTTCTAGGCGGTGTTTTAGGCGGTGTTTTCGGTGGTGTTTTAAGTGGTTTCATTCCAGGTACATATAACCATTTCATTTCATCATTACTTATGGTAAATGTGTTTTTTGTTCTCGATAACTTAAACAGATCACTTTTGTAACCCTTTCCCTTGTGATCAAATGTTAAATAAGCCTTCATATAGCTTCCTTTCCATCTTTGTTCCTTATCCGCTCTATCAAAAAGGTTTGTAATGCGCCAATATGCTTGCTGATTCATGTTGACTTTTATAATCGCTTTCTTTCTGTCATCTATCGATAAGTTACAGAATTCTGATTTTAACTCCTTGATGTATAAATATATTTGATACCAAATTTGCCTAGGTAAATCGCTAAAGTTATTCCTATAATCAGTTTTCTCTAGTTCAGCTATCGCTCTCTTCTTTGCGTCATCGAAATCCTCTTCACTTTGAAGAAGCAGTAACTCTCTAACTTCTATTTCTTCATCTGGACAATAATCAGGGTTAAATAAATTATCTATTTCTCCCTTCAAAACAGTTTGCGGATCACTATTTTCTGGAGGAACTTTATACATTTCTAAGTTCATTGGTTTATCATCATCGCACCAATGAACACACAGATTACTAATGTTTGTATCCTTAATTAGAACGTTATGTAGCACAAAAGAGTCCATGCTGCCTTTTACAAAAGTGTAAGATGCTCTTTTACCCAGTTTATAGGCTGCTTCAATCGCTTGTGCACATTCATAGCTTCCAAAAAAGATATTTACAAGCATGGGTATGGATTATGATATTTTTTAATAACAGATAAAGGGATTAAAATTAAAAATGGCTAAATGATTATGTTGAGGAGCAGCGCTCTAAACCGGTGAATATGCTGATATTGATGAGTGTTTATTCATTAACTTTCTTTTAAGTCGATGTATTAAATTTGTCTTATTGCATTCCTAGAATCGGGTGTTAGTGTGATAACTACTTCTGAATTAAATGTCATTGTCTACTTGTTGCGTGGGGTGCAGGGTTTTATCCTTAGTGGAAAACTGAGTCATGATGTAGTTTGTAATAATGAGAATCACTTTCTTCGTCGTCTCTACACTTTTATATAATTAGGGTTTTCAGCCCTAACCTGATGTGAACAATAACGAACAACTAAATCCATCTTCCAACACCTAAGACTAAGCTGTTACCCGATACCAACAACTATCTCTTTGAACTCTTTAGAAGAAAAATGCTCTTATTGGATGCATTCCATTGCTCGTGGCAGATAATAAGCGAATGCTCTTCGATAATGACGATGGATCGTCTTCAGACGACCAATCTGCTGAATACGTAGACAGAAGTGGAACCAGTCAGACAGAACAAGGCGTATTCAAGACCAAGGTGCTCTCTGAGAATGAGTCCAATCTAAGGCAGAAAACAGGAAGGTTGAATACAAGCCAAAGAGAGTTTGAAACGATGGCGTCTGCAGAGAGCATATATAATCAGTGATTCAAACTCAAGACATCCTCGTATTGATATTACATNAAAAATGCTCTTATTGGATGCATTCCATTGCTCGTGGCAGATAATAAGCGAATGCTCTTCGATAATGACGATGGATCGTCTTCAGACGACCAATCTGCTGAATACGTAGACAGAAGTGGAACCAGTCAGACAGAACAAGGCGTATTCAAGACCAAGGTGCTCTCTGAGAATGAGTCCAATCTAAGGCAGAAAACAGGAAGGTTGAATACAAGCCAAAGAGAGTTTGAAACGATGGCGTCTGCAGAGAGCATATATAATCAGTGATTCAAACTCAAGACATCCTCGTATTGATATTACATGAATTACAAGCATGGGATAAGCAAGAATGGATACAAAATACCTACGACCTATGAATCAAGCGAGAATAAGCACATGGTGCTTGCGTACTGTACGCTTTGTAAGACGTAGATTGAAATCAACAGAAAGAACACTAACAGGAGCTTTGGGCGGCGCAGACACTATCGGAAGAATCACGCTAACTATTTCTACGACTTATAACAAATTACAGATGATCATCGTCCGATGTATTGCATTTCTGATGATGATTATGCTCTTGAATGTAATATTGATCATGGTGAATAGAGGAAATACATGGAAATGCTATCTAAGNATGGGATAAGCAAGAATGGATACAAAATACCTACGACCTATGAATCAAGCGAGAATAAGCACATGGTGCTTGCGTACTGTACGCTTTGTAAGACGTAGATTGAAATCAACAGAAAGAACACTAACAGGAGCTTTGGGCGGCGCAGACACTATCGGAAGAATCACGCTAACTATTTCTACGACTTATAACAAATTACAGATGATCATCGTCCGATGTATTGCATTTCTGATGATGATTATGCTCTTGAATGTAATATTGATCATGGTGAATAGAGGAAATACATGGAAATGCTATCTAAGCCAAATTTATTACCTGAGGATATTGATGTATTCTTCATTTGATGCACATAAAGAAAAGCGAACAAAATCATTGATAAATTTACACCTCCGTGAATATTTCACAAATCCTCAAGTAGCCTATCAATTCACCTACCATGCACTTATACTCATTAATATCAATGGATTCCATATGGTTAATCATGTCAATTATTTCATCATCTACATCTATATTCAGCCCAGCACACTTCTTTTTATACAGCTTACTAAATTCAACATAGTATTCCATATCAACTACCGTAATAAACAGTTCAGCAATCACAGTGTTGACACTCTCATACTTTGATTCCAATTCCTCAATTCGACATTTTTCTATTTCTCTACCTTGTGTTTCAATTGCATCCTTTCTTTTCTTGTAGGAGACCATAGCTTGTTCTGTACCGATTATTGGGTTGCTGCTCTCTTTAGCAAAATAATTGATGTTGTTTAGTAACATGATATTACGATTATTTGCAGTTACATTGATCAAATCAATACCCATTTCCAGACCTAATTTGGCATTGGAGTGTTTATACTTAAATTGCTGCAACTGTACCATAAGCACCTTGAGTTTCTCATTCATCATTGCGTTAATCTCATTCATATCATTAGCTGTTACCTGATCAAATAATAAACATGGGATGTTATTGAATTTTCTTTTACAGGATAAATTGATTTTTAAATACTTGAATAGTGGGAACCTAGTATATTAGAGTATATCAGCATTCAACACCAGTTAGTTAAAATATACAACTTACACATCCTCATGTACTTATTGTCCGCTGTACTGTTGATCAATTACATCAATAATAGACTTAAGTCTTTTTATAC